CTAAAATATCTTCTTGAAAGGCCAAGTGAAGACAAAGCTCTTAAACTTGACTCTGGGGATCCCCACTGGCATCTGTCGTCTTTTTCTCACCTTTCCTTTTTTTAACTTTTGTTCAGGGGTAATGAGGGCAGAAAAGATAGACCACAAGCCCCTGGAAAGATTAATGATTGTACTGGCAAATATGTCAGGGATTATACCTACTTCTCAATTAGTGTTTCAATAAAACACACATTCCCAATAGTGGTAAAGAAATAGGTAAGTTTATTTACCCAGAAATTAAAATGTGTATTATGAATATTGGTTCATGTATCAATGTCGATATAGCTGCAGGTTTCTAAGAAGTGGTGCTTCCTTTACAAACCACTAAGTCAGGTGAGTGCATGTTAAAGTGCTGTGGGATAGCAGGAAATGCTGAGGTGCAGATGTTGGAGGACAAATTGGAACCATACCCGTGGGGTGCTGGAGTTGGTTCACACTGACTCTCTAGAGCCAATGATTAAAGTTTCAGGAGTTTTGAGAACTGGTTGCTAAATGGTCAATTAAGTACCAAATTATATTAATGTGCAATTAACAGTAAAGGTAATACATATTCAAAATTCATCTCATCTTAATTGTTCTACATTTTGCTATTACTTGTGCTCTTGAAGTCACATATAGCTCTGTATCTACGGTGGAATCACTAGGAAGTTGTGAGCTGTGTTTCCTTCCCAGTTAACGCCACCCAGTAACTGGAAGTCTGAAATGGTCAGGGGTCCGTGCACACCACGGGAATGGGCCAGTGCTACCACCTGGCCTACATTCTTGGAAACCAAACACGACACAGTCAGCAGCACACCACTGCACGGTCACGGGCCCACGGAAGCATGCTAAGGTTTGTGTGAGTGTGAAGCACTTTTACTTGGAAGATCGGTAGGTTGAAGACGCACAGTACATGAGTGTCTTTAGGAAATCATTCTCATAACTGTAAAGGTTGAAGGTGATTTTTTTTTCTTTCTCAAAAGCTGTAATTATTCCACAAACATGACTTTTATTACAAATATCAGTTACAAAGTGTCCTGTAATTTTATGGAGCAACCTGTGCACCATTACTTCTAGATAAAAATAAATGTGCTGACTAAATTGAGGCATAAGTTCCTTGGAGGAGGTGGGCGAGACTCCCTTCTTTTTTCCCTGCTAAACTTCTAGAAAGAATATCTTTTGCTGGATCTACGTTGCTTACCTTCTCATCAGCTTTGGCTTCTGCCTCCACCACTTCACTTGACTGTAAGGTAACCACTGACCTTACTGAATAGTTTCTTTTCAGTCCTCGAAGCCATGGCCTGTCTCTGTGGCCATTGCCTAGCCTCCCCATTAACCTGAATTGGAGCAGAAGCCCTCCCCTCCCCTCCCCACCAAGCACAGTTGTGGCACCTCCTAGCAATTCAGCCCTTGTTTGCTGCGTCAGTGTGGCCTGAATTCTAATCTCCCTGGATGTCAATTTTTTTCAGACATGAAAAGAAGTGTATACCCTTTAGACCCCCTATTTTTTGTTTTGCTAAGAGTTCCACCTTTAGGGGGTCTTGAAAGGGCAAAGAGCGCCCCATTTCAAGTGGGCATTACCAGCAGGTGTGTCCACTTTGTTGCCAAGCTCTAGAATTTTCACTTTTTCTTTGGTTCTAACCTGAGTCCCTCAACTGTTCCTGTGCCTTTTGTTGCTCCTTGGCTCAGAGCTGGGATGCACGACCTTGAGGATGTTACATTATCACCTTCCCCAGCTATGCAACTGGGACAGACAGGAGCTGTGCAAAGCCAGCCGGCAAGCTTGTTCAGAACTCCTGTGAGCCGGGTAAACCCCAGGTCCTGGTGCTACATTCCCTCACTGGAGTTGTGCGTATTTTATCTTCATAATGTTTCCCCCTAGAGTAGCTCCCCTTCAACTCCTTTATCACCTTTGTTGCTTGTGCAGAATTCCCTCATGTCTAAAATTCTTTTTTCCTACGGCTGCAGGAATCAGAACCAAACAGTATTCCAGATGCCACTTTGCACTCCAGCATTGCAGGGTTTACAGAGGGGGAGCGATCATCTTGCTAATGACTTAGCGGCAGGAAGATCCCATCAGTCAACAACACTCAAGTTTCTGCTTTCCTTCTGGAGGTCACAAGCCTTCAGGTTCTCCAGACTCATTATTCCAAATACTGATTGTCCTCTCTTTGCTTTCTTGCCCGCTGTCTTCACGAGGTGTCCACCTGTTGGGTCAAAGGCCCCAAGGTGGCACGGCCACCGCTGAAATTAAAAGGGGGAGAACACATCCACCTTGTGCATACACAACACAGAGAGCAGTCCCACGGTACTCACCTGAATGCTAGATTAGTCAGCAAGCCACCAGAAATGGATCTGAAGGATGGGGGGCAGAGTTGGGGGGGGGGGGTCATGAGACAAAGGAACAGGCCAGGCCCAGGCTGATTGAAATGATAATTAGTTGTGGAAAATAAGGTTGGGCCCCAGCCAAGAATTTGTCTTTGACAAAAGATAAACCTGAAGGCTCCAATCCCATCATGATGGGGGGATTTAGTTGGTCTTTTGTAGGAGCTCCAGAGCCAGAACAAAGCAACACTGAGTTTCAAAGTGCAGATGACTCTCCCTGTTTGTTGTTCTCCCCGTTAACATACAAGCTGTTTCCTTTCATCTGCACAGGCTGACACAATATGGAGAACCCTCAATAGATTAAGCCAGATTCTAAATGAATGCAGAGTGGTCAAGTCAGAGCTCTTTTGGCTTAAGAGACAATCTTGGTGTCTCTGGCTGGAATTTAAAAAGAAAAAAATAAGGGGGAGCTTTTTAAAAACTGAACGATCGGCCAACTTACTAATGATAAGGAAAAGGGGCATCGCTACTCTAAACTGCTCAAACCAAGAAAAGTGTGAGATGCCCCAAAACAACACAATTTTAATCTCCAGACTGAACAGCTAGATATTGGGGGACTGACAGCAGGGAAGCGGGGAGTCAGAGGATGATGCCTGGTACTCTATTTGGACCTGAAACTGCTACTCCAAAGGTTCTGTGAAACTACTTGCCTGAAATATTGTTTTGATAAATAAGCCATATCCTTGTGGAATTGAAATCTCCAACTGTTCCACTGGCACGGACATCTCCGCAGTGACAGCTCATGCCCCAGATTGTGGAGTTAACTTGAATTAAATTTCAGATGTGGGGGTGCCGAGGGAGGGGACGGTGGCAGTGGGAGGTTTATGAACAGTATGCTGGGGCTCTGATGTTGTCAAAACCAGATGGCTTCTACTGTAACATTTAAACAAAAACAAACATGTCCAGAAATAATACAATAAGGATCGGGCGGCTTTACCTGTATCTGCAGTACAGCAGTTTTGCAGTTGCAGTAAAGCCACACATTGGAAAGCCTACAACTGTGGTAAAGTCCCAGCAGAGACTCACCTCCTCAGAAGTCTGGTGCCAGCACTGCTACCCCGAGGTCATATTCCCCAAACCCACTAGCCCCTAACCATAATCTTCTGGGAATAAGGAAAGCACATCTGAAACCTGTTCTGTCCCGAAGTCCCTGGTGACCAGGTGGCAGACATGCACTTCCAGATTTTTTTCTTGTTGTTCCCACAGAAAGGAAGTGGAGCTTGGATTTCTGAACTTTTCAGAAATGGGACTTCCTCCACTTATTTAGATAATCTTTCCTGGGCCCTCCACTCTAAGAGCTACTGTTGCTCAGCAGTTGTGAGATCTTAGGTATTACCTGTCACCTGACTTCTCCGATTTCGACTGCTCTCATCTACTAGACAGACAGAAGCTGTCTACCCCTGTCCTACAAACTCAAGTTGCTGGGATATCCACATGAGCCACTGTACATGGAATGTTCACTGAGAGGTCACAATTGCTGGGTGAGTTGCTACCTGACAGACAACACAGGTGAAGGAGACTGTATGATGTGTCCCCTGATCTAACTGCTACCTGGAAAGAGAGGGCTGAGGACAGGACAGCAGCCAGAACATGAAGTGGCTACTTCCTCACAGGTAAGACACTTAGAAGGAATCCCAGAAGGGCAAGTGGAATCAAATGTTTCCAACCAGCAGTTCTTAGATTACATTGGTACTAGGTCCTGTCTGCTCTATTCTAGGGGTGGCAAGATAAATGAAAACTGGGAAATTTTCAAAGGTTAAAGTCACTGGAAAAATGGAAGAAGAAACATGTTGAGTCCCCATGTATAGTCAACTAATCTACACTAGGCCGATTCAGCAATGTATTTTCCAGCGTATTCCCGTGTCCTGTGCAGTCTGACACTACGAGACAGGCAGTAGAGTCACACTGCATCCTGGTGAGCTTGCTGGGAATGCTGACATGAACGTTTCTGAAAGCACATCAGGTCAGTGGCAAAATCAGAGAGAGTAATTTCCCTTAGTTAATCTCCGCATTCATGTCCCCTCTGATCTTTTTTGGCTTTAGCTAGGAGAGAGGAGGCTGGGGTTTGATCTGAAAACATACGGAGTGCAGAAAAGCTCATTTCCATTACTTGTCTTGGCAGAAGGAGGAGCCTGATCCCTCACGGGGATGGGAACTCTGAGATACTCAAAGACAAGAGGCTGGCAGGTGCTGGTAGCTCCCAAAGGAAACATATATAAGGTTAGGAGAGGTGGCGAATCCCTGCTGCTTAGACAATTCACATAACCTCTGCAAACTGATGGATCAAACCGGGCCTTCAAGGTCCTATAAGAACTCAGATCCAGAGGGCAGCCAGGTGAGTAGAAAAAAAGACCAGAGATACCACACAGTACAAAATAGTAATTATTTATATTTTCAAAAAGAAAAAATTAACATTTGGAAGTTCTCCTCTGTAGGAAGAAGGTGAATTGGAAGGAACAGGATCGGCTCCTATGCAGGCGGCAAGTCAGGTAGGAACAGCTGAGCAATCTGGGTTGGGATTTTTTTCACACAGCATTAATAATAAAATTTCCTTTTCTTCTTTTTGTTCTATTTTTTGTTTTGTTGTGTTTTTTTTTTTGTTTGTTTGTTTGTTTTTGTTTTTTAGAAAAGGGGGTAGGGAAGAGAAATAAAATCAGAGAAAAATGCCAAAAAACATTTTCCACAATATCTAAAAACAGAGAACCATAGTTCTTGTCAAGACAGTATGAATTCTGGATGAATTATTTTTTCCAGTTTTCAACACCAATAAAGATTTTTTGCAAATGCCACCACATCAGAACACTCATCTTCCAGATCAAATAACCTCTTTCCTCTTTCACCTTCACTTGTCATTTTTCATAAAAGGATAAAAGGATGTATTCTGTTCTTGCAAACAGTAAGTGCTAACAACAAGAGAGCTCTTCTGATAGTTGTATGGTGGTGAGGAGTTTTCACAAATATCCAAGTTTTAGCACAGTTGGATGGACTAAAATTAGTTTCTCGCAACATAAATACTACTAGATTCCACAAGCTGATTTTTGAGAAAGTCTGCAAAAATCCTTTCTTCTTTCCTTTCCTTTTCCCTTCTTTTAAAACTAAATGTCCTTTTATTTTTTATTTTTTTCCTTTTCGCTCCAGGCACCTGACAATTCGTTCTGCTCAGTCAGATGCAGACAGGTTTCTCCAAAGTACCACCGCTGGGATGTCCACAGGGTCACTGCCTAAACTGAATCCCCACCGTATCAAACTTGGCCAGGCCAAAGGGAACACAGTGACACAGCAACAGGGTTTTCAATAGGCTGAACTGCCCCGAGTCCCAGGCCCTTCCCTCCCCCCGTTTCCCCAAAGTTTATTTAGTGCTGTTTTAAAAGTCTGGGGCCACGATGCAGTCTTTCCCCCCACAACAGTAAAAGCTCCACAGATTGCGCTGTCTACCTGGTGGTCAGTGGCAGCAACCGTGGCTGCTGCTTCTGGAAAATAAACGGAAGTCTTACAACAGGCAGGATCTTAGGATTGCTTCAGGCGCTTGCGTGGGGGTCCCAGAAAAGGGCACTGTGCCGAAGCCAGAGAGCGATATGCTTCGGCCACCAAGTGAGGATGTGACACCACCATTGACTTCCAGCCAGAGGTCTCCAAGACGTCTGAAGCATGACTACAAGAAATGTGGAGAGGTGGGTTACAAAAGGAGTGTGTGTAGGTCGTTTAAATAGTCACCTAGATACCCTTATCTCCCAGAGCTTGCTGTAAAGGGTGTCAATGAAAGAATCAGACCACCCCCAAAATATGCATGAGAATCTGCCTTTCAGACATGGCAGGCAGATACCAGGCAGGGGCCCGCTGTCAATGCTCTCTCTACTTGCTGGTGATTCTAGCAGAAGGGAAAAGCAGGAGTTCTCCCGGCCAGACAGCGCCACACTTCCATCTGGCTCACAACCATAGGGAAGAACATGGCCTGGGCACCGTGTGATGATCAAGAAAGGAGATAATAACCACACTTCCCTGAGAGGTTAACATCTAAATAGCACCAGCAAGTGTCCAGTGAGAATTCACTAGAAGGAACTCATTAGAGACCACAACGACGGGTCTCTTCCCTCCCTCTTCTGTTGCAGTTGATAATGTCTCTGAAAAGCCCTACAGACTGTCTTGTCTCACCCCCCAAAGAGTTGCTGTGAGGGTTTTATAAGGCCTGCTGCTCTTCCTTGGGATTTTCCAATTTTTATAGGTACTGCACCCCTCACTCCAAGTGAGAAGAACATGTCTAGTGAGAGTGATTTCAGAAATAATGGCTTGGTCATCTGACACTTAGGATTCATGAAGAGATCTACTGGAACGGACAGTTTTTTCCAAAATAGGTTTTAGCCATCTCATCTACTCTTTTCCCTCATTCTACAATCAACAGTTACATTTTACTAACTTACAAAAAACATCCTTCCATTCTCCCAGAAATCCATGTTTTGTTAAGTCAGTGTGAAGTAGAAGCTACTGTTTACAGGTATTACAGCATTTTCAGGCCAGTAAATTACATTTTTGTCAATTCTTACTATTACAAGGAAGTTAAATACCTCACTCACGAAAAGGATTTTAGGCCCCTGAGAACAAAACCATCTTCCACACTGTCAAGCTGAAGGGGGAAGATGAAAACTCTATGCTTATTTTAAGAACATTACTGAAGCTCCTCACCTGTTGTACTTACTGATTCAAAGTCTTTCTCATTTTTCTAGCTAGTCCAACTATACTTAAAGAAGAACTTTGAAGTTGTCAACTCACTAGTTGATGAAATCCACCGCCTGAGTTTTCAACTGATCTGCGCTGTGGAGGTCAGCCAGGATGAGAATTTCTGCGGCGTTCTCCACGGAGAGGTTACTGCAGAGGGCATCCTCACACATGACCTTTAAACGCTCCAGGGCATACTGTAAAACATAAGCACGGCTGTCGTCAGAGCAGGAATAGCTCTGGGCAGACCACTACAGAAGCTGTTTTCTTCAGCTGGACCATCATGTAACTGGATACCCGAACAAAACTGCCGACCATGAAAAGGCTACAGCCGCAACTATAATTATAAAACATCCCCATGCTCAGAAGGCTGACGTGAAGACAGTTAGGAAACCTTGCACAGCTGCCATTCAAATTCTAAAGTCTATCAGAGAAAGGCTAATTATAGTGTAAACCTGCATCTTCAGGGGTAACCTGCCCCAACTAAGATTAAAGTACTTCTTAAACAACCACTATCTACCTTTAAAATAAGGTAACACTGTGCTTCAAGTCAACAGGGCATTGCCTTTATACATTCTTTTATTTAGAGCCAGACCAGGTTGAAGCACAATCCTTTCACTAAACCCGTCGCAGCCCAGCAGGGTATCCCAACTGACCCATCAGACAGTGAAAAGGAGCCCTGTGGTGACTTTCACTGGCATTTCTGCCACTAGTTGTTCCTGAATGAGAGTCAACCCGGTCTCCTTTAAACAGAAAAAGATTAAAAATGAAGTCCTATTTTGTTGGGGCTGAGGTTAGATGCTTAGGGCAAAGCAACAGAGACCCAGGGTCCAGTTTCAGTCTAAAAACTTCCTACTTTCCATATAGATGTTCTAGAAATGGAAGGTCTAGGTTGTTATTGGCACATTTGATCTAGTTGATTTGTTTTGATGCAACTGTACTACTTGCTCTCAAAATGAGATTATGAACTTACTAAGGAACAGCAGGGATAAGGAGGAGGAAAGGATGAAAGGTGGCACAAAATAAACTGTCACTAATGGGCTCACAGGAGAACAATCTGCTTTGAGGGTAACCGCAGTCTCCACACAGGTCCCATTTTGAGGGCCTCAGGACTCAACGGCACAGTACTCCTCCAGGCGGAATCATGGCAATCAAACCAGGACAATTTTATTTTTATGAATTCTAGGTGAGGAGGCATATCTACTGGCACTGTGATCTCCTGCAGCAAAAGGAGAGTTTTATTGGTTTTGGTGCAGCTTTAATTTTTTTCCATTTGAGTAACTGGAAAACAGTTTCCATGGAAAATAGAAATGATACTAGACAAGCAAGAAATTAGGTTGCCGTTTTTGTTTTCAAAGGTTGGAAAGGTTGAATAAACGTTCAGTCTTTATATAGTGCTGCATAGGATATTTCTCCTATCTTTTCTCAATACATTCTTTTAAAAGGACTTTTACTGTGAATAGTTGTGATCCCTACTGCGTAATGAGACAAAAGTAGCCATTCTTATCCCTTAGGGGACAAAAAATTTTTTTCTTAATTATGCTTCTGAAAAACCTGCCTAATGGCAGTACTTACCCAGGAGACTGAAATTGTGTCTCCCAGGCCTGGACTACGTGTTTTGTTTTGTTTTTGGTCTAATTACACACGTCCCCAGGAGAATGGGAAGGCTTAGAAGAAGCTGTTTCAGACTCTTGGGTAAATTCTAGATGTTTAGATCCTTCCATGAAAGATTTCTTATTCTGTTTCCTAAAGCTCATGAGGAGGTGTAAAGGTAAAAATGTTTTCAAGTAAACTTGGAGTAAAAACTGTCTAAAGGGAAATTCTGAATGGAATTAGAAATGTACCCTTTGGTACCTTCTCATTCATACATTGAAAGCACTGCTGTGATTCAGCTGCTTTATCTTAAAAATGTAAGTTAACACATCGTACTGAAAATATCATCCGTAGAATGTCAAGTCAGGCTAATTCCCGTGCTCTATGCACTTATAGGAGGTTCCCAGCAGGTTCTCTGGCTGAAGAGCAAGAATGAAAACCCAGGGAACACAGATGTCTAACTCTGGCTCTAAGGATACGCAGCTTTAAGCCACAGTATTTCTGTCTTAAATGTGGGCCTTGCAAGTACTAGTCACTATGATCGGAGTTAGATATGAGGGGGCAGGTTCCTGGTGTGACACCCATTCATGGACCATCAGAAGGCAGATGAAGCAGAATCATCATAAAGGCATGTTTATAAAAGTAGGTATTAGGCTGGGTGTTCTACGGCAGAGATTATGGGATTATTTTCTCACTGTCTTCACTGAAAGCCAGTTCCTCTTAAGCTAGACTCTAACGGTATAGAATATCTGCACAGATACAGCTATTTTTCAATCCTTTGGATCAGTAGGAGCTATTGGGTTTGCATGTCTCACCCTCTACACACACTCCAAAAAGTTGATTAATAAAGACAAAACCTCTCCTATAAACCCAGGCTCTTCTCTCTGTCTGTAGGGGTACAGTGGGAGGTGGAAGGAGACTCTCCGTGGGCAAGTCCTGTAGTGCCCTTGGGTCAGAGCCAGCTGTGCCCTCAGATGGGCGTTGCAACGTCATGGAGCAAAGAACCATCTTTCTCCCAGTACATGCGTCTCACTGGGTCTATGTACTATTAGCACCCTTGTCTCAGCTGTCTCCCTAACACAGGAAGAACAGCAATTGTTGCACTTCCTCTCTCACCTCAGGCAACAGTGTATTGGAGGACATGTCACCAAGAACTTTTGTTGTATCTAAACAATAAAAACCAGTTTCCAAAAGTCTGCTTGAGAAACACATCCCTGAAGGCGGTCCTTGAGAAAAAGAACTCCAGGTTTAACAAAACTGGAGAAACATGATATGACATATTCCCTTTTATAAAACTTACAATGCACATTAACACTCCAAAGGTTTTGAGAAATCTTTCAGTAAAGCAACACACAAAAATACCAGTTTGATTTGGTTAAATTCAGTATTTTTTTTTAAAGATTTATTTATTTGTGCATACAGAATTGGGGTACAGGCCTGAGGCTCAGGGGCGGTGAGGGGCTTCACCAGAGACAGAGCGGGGAACAGAACAGGCAGATCAACGAAGTACACTGCTAAGGGGAGCAGCGGGTGGGTCAGGAGAGGTCTGCCACACCATGTGGTCACCTCCGGGGCAGGCGGGAATCGAACTCATGCAGAAGTGGCTTTAGATTCTCAGTGCTGTGCTCTAACCCGCTGCGCCACCAGGGAGGGCCCTAAATTCAGTATTTTATTAACCTTTACCCTTAATCTTACTTTGGGAATTACTAGCCTGTTGTTTTAGGTAATCACCATTATTTCCTTTTTTTCCACATTTTGATTTTCACACTTCTAACATTTCTCATGTCAAAATGTGTGTTGTCTTTATCAAATTAGGGTATATACTCATCTTATTCACTGAACCCATGCAACATAAAAGTTCAGGCATTAAACTCAAAGGTCAAAAAACTCCTATTCTTAGGATCATTTTTCTATTCTTATCTCACCTTGTCAGCAGCTGCCAGCAAATCATCGGCCATTTTGTCGAGGTTTGGAGCCTTCCCCGTGTAAATGAAGCACATCATTTCCTTAAAAACTTCAGGCTCCACATCATTGATTTCAACCCGATTCTATGCCAGAAAAACTGAAAATGAGAACTATTCCAACAGAATAAAAAATCCCTAAACAATTTTCACGATTTCAAGCGCTGGTGTGGAGAGAAAGTTTTATCATTTAAAGACCTAATATGAATGGAAAATTTCCCCCTATTTGTTAAAACAGTCTGCCCCCACTCCCACAGGTATGCCACCTTTGTTCAACAGCAAAATGACTATATGCTTAATTTTCACCTTTTTTTTCCTGAGTTTTCTGAACAGAAAACATGCCTAGAACCTTCAACCCAAAACTCTGTCTGGGATTGAGACTGAATGAGTTTGTTTTGTTTAGAATACTTCTGGAACCTCTCTCTTCTCTTACAAAGTACCTGTTCAAGTAACTGTACTCCATTATAACACAATAAGAAAAAATATAATTAAGCAAAATAAGCCTGCTGCCAAGCTGAGAAGTCAACTGGATCTAGTACCAAAGCTAAAAAGACTTATCCCCATCCTGTTACATACCTTTTTGCTCTCCTCCATTTCATGCTCAAACATGGCACTAAAAACAGGAGAACGAGCTTTAACATGAAAGGGAAACAGAGAGATGGTTATCACACTGAATCTCTTGGGTCTTCTGTTCTGAAGAAGAAATTGTTTATTTTTCTGTCTCACTGCTATAGAAAGGGTCTTACCCTCAAATCATACCAGAATTATAAAATTAATCTCTTTTAATTCCAATAACTGAGCAAAGGGGAAAAAAGAAATCACAACTTTGAAAATAAAACTTTCTACTAACTTTATTCCAACCATTCATATTCCAAGGAACTTATTCAAATTCTGTTAGATGACAGGGATCCCCTATAGACAGACTTGGGAGTTTGAATACGGAAGATCTTTTATGGCCTAAGGAGGGTGTTCTAATAGCTGGATGTCTGCCTGGAACAATGACACATACTTTTCTCCACTTTCAGTGACCACACAGCATGGAAGTCAAGAACAGAGAGCTCAAGGGCATCCGCTAGCTAGATGAAGTACATGCCTTTATGGTGTGCTGTCTGTTCCTCCAAGTCAACAGAGATGAACAAACTCCAAATAGGCAAAAAAGAAATAGAATTTTAAGTCATGCCATTTCTAGCCTAATGAATGCTGTGAAAAACAAATAAATTTAACTTCAACCATGAAAGCAATAAAATAGCTAAGAACTCAAATTTTATCCTGTCCAATTAATCAGGGTTCTTGTTGAAAGTTGAGACCACCAAACTTTCCCTAAGAGATGGAAAACAAACTAACAGATAACTAAAACTTTGACCTATAGTTTATGTCAGAAAGTACTAATTTTAGACCTGCCATTTTGTAACTATATTATCTTGGACTTAACCCTCTGAAATATCTGAATCTATTCCAAAAGGGTATTAATTCTCACTGTTCTTATCTCAGAAGGTGCTAAGATTAACATTAGAGAAATTGAAGACTAAAAGATGGTGCTTTTAATCAAGGAGGGAAGGGTTCAAAGTGGCAATATACTCAGAAGTCTTCCGTGGATAGACATAAACTAATACTATGAGAACAAATAAAATCACCCAAGGAAAATACATAGAGTGAAAAGAAAACTGAAGCAGACCTTTGGGAAACACCAACCTTTAAAGGGGTGGGTAAAGAAGAGGGAGGTCACACATTAGAGTAGCCACAGGAACAGGACAGAGAAGTCTAACAATATATGAATTAATATATATATATATATATATATATATATATACACACACATATACACATAAAGAGTATGTATGAACTAAGGATCCCATAAAGTTAGGGGTTAACTGACTTTGGAGAAAAATATTTAAGAGGTATAGAGGTGAGGTGAACTGTGGCTAAATAGGAAGGAAAAACAGATAATGAATGTGCTAACATAGGAAACTTAGTTCTGACAGAAAGGAGGGAGACTAACTAGAGGGAAAGCTTTTGTCTGTTAATAGGCTGAGGGTAAACAGGCAATAAGAGGAAGAGATGGGGGAAAGATACAGTTAATAAGGGTACAACTGGCAGGGCAAGGTTTCTGAGAAGGCAGCATGGCTTATGAAACAAAAGTAGAAAATACAGTCTGTTTTGGACATAGGAAGCACATTCCCTCCACTGAGATTGCAGGGAAAACGCCAAGTAAAGTGAAGCACATTCCCTCCACTGAGATTGCAGGGAAAACGCCAAGTAAAGTGAGAAGCAAAGTTGAGGGAGTTCCTACAAAAGGGCCTCCATTTTCTCTTGAAAGTAGAAAGGTCACCTGTTAGATGCTGGAGAGTAAAGAACAGTGATACAAGTCTGAAGTCTGTTGTTGAGATAAAGAAAGGTAGCTAACTGCGTAATATGTAGAAAGAGTTCTTGGCTGTGCTGAGGGACACTAACCAGTAACTCCTTTAGCAGTATACTGTAACAGCCAGCTGAGAGAGGGACAGAACAGTGCTTAGGCTGAGCCAGACACAGGTTTGGCAGGTGTCTGTTTTAGAGCTGTGGGTCTTGGTAAGAAATCTGGCACCGAAAAAGATGATGTGATGGCCTCTCATGTCTTGTAGACCAAATGTAAATTTGTGATTAAAACTCCTATGTTTTCATGTGAGGTGAAAGCTGGTGCTTTCTTATCAGTACCTGCTCTACGTCTTTCAAGTCTTAAAGATCAAGGGTCTATTATTAGAGAAAGACCCAACCTTCCAGTCACTAGCAAATCCTCAACTTCTAATTTTTTTTCCTTTAAAAAAAATCTCTTTTTGGAGAAACACATGTCTTTTGCAGCAACTTGGATGGAGCTGCAAAAGATCATGCTTAGTGAGATAAGCCAGAAAGAGAAAGAAAATACCGGATGCTTTCACTCATAGCAGGAGTATAATGGACCAGGTGAGAAAATAACAAGAATAATGAACAGCCATATACTCCCATTTTGTGGGGGTGGAGTGGGGAATGGGATCAAAAACGGGGTGGTGGGGAGGGAAGTGCACGGGATTATGGTGATAGCACACGGGTGACTTGGTGATGGGAAACCTGCGGGGATTACAACTGAGATGGAGAAAAAAATGTACAAAATGATGTAAAAATAAACTGTTATAAAAAATAATATATATATATATATATATATATAACAAATAAATAAATAAAAATAAAAGAGCAGGTAAAAAAAAATCTCTTTTTGAATTTTCTTTCAGTGTTATTTGTATAAAAGAGAGAGCTAATATCTCCAGGGCTGGGCACCTAGCTATAGCACAGTTAGAATCTTCTTCATTACATCTCATTACATCTTCATTACATCGCTACAAATTCTGTGGAAGGGCTAAAACCACAGTGTTTAGACATCTACTATCAAGGTGCGAAGGCGTTCAATACTGTTATCATTATCATCTAGTCCTTGAATATGATGGCCTAAGTCCACTACGGAGAAAAAAGCAAATATCATTTTATGGAAATTTTGGACTTCTGTTTTTGACAACTAATGTCACAATACAGAATTGTATGTAGTTGCAGTTTTTTTCACTAGTTCAAAAAGCTTAAGTTACTCAAAAGGCAATTATGAAGCTACTGTTTCCCCTTGTTTTATCAAAAGTAAACCTTCCCATGAATAAATACTAACCTGCTAAGATAGCTTTGTGAGCCTGGAATTCCTGGCCGGCAACACACAAACAACAGTCTGTGAAACGGGAATTCTCCCACAGTCCTCCTAGCTCATCTGCCAATCGGCACTCAGGAACTTTCACCATATTCATGGTATTCTGGCCAGAAATGTTGACAGAATCTTGCACCACACTCACCTGTAAAAAATAAGAAAACACAGACTAAAACTTTTGTTACCAGGAACTTTCTACCCAGAAGAAGGAGAGTATATTTTATATACTCCTAGGTACACTCAGATAATAAAGTAAGTTACAGTCTCTTGAAACCATCTCTACAAATCAAGTAACTTCCAATCTATCATAACCATTACCACCTCAGGTAAGTGGGGAGAGAGTGCCCCACAAATTTCCTTCTTACCCAACTTCTAAAAAGCTATACCTCTCCTGGCAGGAAACCTGAGTCACACAAAGGGGAAAAAACTGACAAAACCAAAGCTGAACTTCAAGCATTTACCTTATTATGCTGCAAGCAAACAGTTAAGCACAAAGAGCTCCTATAGAAACTACCATTTTTTAAACTCTCTAGAAAGAATTCACTTAGTTAGGTCTGGACCATGGAAATAAAGTATAGTTTCTATAAAGTCCAGTAAATGATTTGTGCTTCTTCACAAGTTAGTATAGTGAACAAGACTGGGCTTGAAGTTCTTTCTGATAGTGATAACTAGATGGTTTGCAACCTTTCCTCAGTCATTTGTGACAATGACATGCAGGCTGGCTGGCTCCAGTTGGACACACTGAACAACTTTGAACAGAAAGACAACAGGTGTCAGAGGTGTCGTCACAACATTTAGCAGCAGCAATTTCTCAATACAGAGAAATTTGTTAGGATATCAAATACAAGGATTTTTATCATAAAACATTATAAAATAAATGTAAGTTACTAAACTAAAAATAAGATCCAGCAGATCAGTCTTCTGCCTAGTAAACCACTGCTATTCTTTATCTCATACAGCATGTTAATTTAGAAATTTTAAAATCAAAGCAGAATTCACAAACCTTGAGAATCAACTCCTTACTTTTGTTATTCCTACAAGTTAGATCAGAAAGAGCTTAGGAGCACCCTAAATGATCCAAATTTCTCTTAATCTTCAAGATGAACGTCATCCCTAAGTGTAGCTATAAATCCAGGGGTAAAGCTAATGCCCCATCGAAATGCCCCAAAGTTCTTTTGGTGCAGGAGGGAGATATTTCTTATCAGGTCAAGAAATCTATTCATCTGTTTAGAAAACTGGCCATTATGGTCTTAAACAATAAAATAGCTAAATTAATGAATTACAAATGTGTTTAGCATCAGTAGCACATTTATTAGGGCCAGATTATTACATTATTTTAATAGCCCAAGATACAGCATAAACCACTCTAGAGATTCTCTCTTGTCCTATGTAAGATCTCTAATTTAGTTCAGCCACTTTCTCATATTAACAACTTCACTTCTTTGATATTAACACCAAAAGTGGGAGTTGCCCATTTTCAGTTACCGCTTCAAAATACTGATTAAAAAAAATGGGAAAAAGGAAAAGACCAGTTAAATCCAGCTTCCTCTGAGGAAAAGGCAGGAGAATCTTGGAATGGCCAATGATGAGAATGGAGAGGGCTTTTGGCACTGGGTTCCTAGGTCTGAATTAAACCAGGTTGACAGGAGTCCAAAGTCATTAACACAGGCAATTTACTAGCCTGGGTAAAATGAAATGGCAAGCGTTAGGCTGGATTTCAGACTATGGTGACCAGTGGCCCTTATGCTGGTTAGATGCATCATAAATAATGAGCAAAGCCTAAAAAATGTGACTTCTCACATAGGGGCAATTCCTCACTCTAGATATAGACAGGAACACAGCAGGAAGGAGAATGTACCTTTACTGTCTCAGCCAGATTTGTTCTGTAGATATATGGATGCTTGGAGTCTCCAGAGTTCTGAATGTCTGGCACCTCTTACCAACATTAAATACGCTTAATTAAAAATAAATTTTAAATGGCATTCACAAATGAGTCTTCAGAGCCCAAACTTTTAACTTATAAAGAGATCGTTTTTCTCTGCAAATGATGATGCTAAAATGAGACCATTTTGAGAAAAAAAATAAAGATTTTTTTAAATGCCTATAAAGTTGACTATGGAGACTCATTCAGAATTGCAGCTGTGAAGATGACGTGACTGTGACATTTATGTCGTCTTATAAATGACTGCATGAAAATGTCTCAGGAAGGCTGTATATCCCTCTAAACTTCAAGTTGTAAAAAGGCCTCACTTGTAAAGTCAATTCCTTTTCTTAAAAAAGAAAATTTCATAGAAGACCAAAGATTGTGCCAATTTGCTTACATTTTATCAAGACATAAAAAGTCAAAGTAAATCAATAGAAATATATCTTAAATTTCTTTGTAATTAAAAAACCTTACTGTATAATTGTTTACAGAGGCAGCACTATTTCTAATTGAAAGTCTAGCAATGATCTCAATGCTCATCAACAGGAAAATGAACAAGACCACTGTATATTCATACAACGAGCTATCGAACAGCACTAAAAATGAATGAACTATAGTTACAACCACAACACAAATTATGAAAAAAGCAAGTCACAGATGACTACATACAATCTAACATCATTTTATAAAGCTCAAAACAAGCAAATCAAAACAATACAAGTAATAAACAAGGGAATGACAGCATACATTCAGAATATACCATCCTCGGATTATGGAGATAGCAGATGTCAGGAATAGATGACAAGCACATACAAGCTAGTTTCAAGTTACAGGTGATGATGTTAGATTGGGGGGAGGTTTACTACATTATCATGCTTTATAGCCTATAATAATGTTACATTAAATCTCTATTTCTATAGGTCAAAAACAATCAAATAGTCAAATAGGTGTACCAGTACATCTAAAAAATTCATTAATAAAATAAAAAATGAACAGACCCACATTATTTAAAATTTGACAAAAACACCTCTAGTATATGATGGGATATTTACATTTGAGATGAAAAAGGATGTTTAAAGAGTTAACTAGTGTCTAGATATTTCATATTTGATTTTTCTCATTTCATCTTTCATTGCAATATTACAAAGAGGTGTTGGAATTTTCTACCTGTTAAAAGTATACACTGTGAAAGCAGGGGTTTATTGCTAACAACTACTTATTTTCAATATAAATAGAAGTTGAAACAGTTCATGAAGATTTTCATTGGTCCAAATTATGAAAGAAAAAATTAAAAGTGTAAAGCTTTCGTGATTCTTTGATTACCAAAGTAAACAGTCTCTGTTAAAGAAAGCGTGATAGAGACTGTTTTCTTTCCTTGGTAAAAGCCTTCAGTACCACTTAAGAGTTGTACAGCAGATTAGTGATGGAAAATGGGGGAGTTGGCATGGCCCTGACACTAATTTGCTGTACAATGTTAGGAAAAATCACCTGACCTCTACAGGCACCGCTTTTCTCCTCAATAACATGAAGTGACGATAACAGAACTAACCTAGCTCAAAGGATCTGGATAAGAAACAATGCAGGGAATGCTTTGAAAATGCTTCCAAATACATAAACTAAGTAATAATATCAACTTGGAAGAATATCCACAATTCCTAATAGACCAAACATCACTGAGAATGGAACATGAATTCAGTGCAGCACAATATAAACAAGACCACCTATTAGCATTTTCAGAACCTGCCCTTATTCAAGTCCGCTTAAATATTAACAATAATACCACTGAAATAAAGCCCAAACATAAAAGCGTATGACTCTCACTCACTCACCTAAGGATTTCCTCTTATGGCCTCTGGGAACAGCCAAAACACACATACAAAAACCCATGAAACAACTGCACTTATTGTATCAGGACAGGACAGAAGCGAAACACCTAGACCAAAGGCTGAGAGAGAAATGGCACAGTGGAGTACTTACAACCTAAATTGTATGGGGACATCACTTCATACAAACTTCAAAATAATAAGAAAATCTAGCTAAACCAATAACCAATAAAATATAAACATGCAGTAAAATAAACTTATTTATAAATATTCCATTGACAGAAAGGAGCAACAAGTCAAAAGGATAGAATTTGCACTCAAAAATGATCTAGCTTGGAAAAGCTCTAAGAACTTAGATGAGCTGCAGACATTTTTAAATCCCACACATCTACCACACACCCCACGCAACTGTCTTGCAATGCTGAATTCTACTAAGTCCACAGAGAGTCTTGGAACAGAATGAGTCTCACTAGGCACAAGCCCAAGTATGAGAAGCAACACTAAGCACCTGTGGCCAACAGAGAAGTGTGAGAGGAACAGATGGCACACCTGGTCTGATGGTAAGAAACCGATGGCATCAGCAGAACCCAGCAGACGTTTCCCTGCTCAACATCTCCTCGTTTCCAAAGTGTCATCTCACTTCCCTTCTAAGTCAGTAAGGCAAATCTAAACTTAACCACAGGATTTCTCCTGAGAGAATTTTATATGGGGAAGCAAAAGAAGAGAGAATGTCTTAGATTTAACCACGGATAAGAGATTGCCAAGAAAGAGCAGGTCAATTGGTTTCTAAACCAAGAGCTTCCAAGACCAGAGCTGGAGTGGCTGGAGTGGATTTAGGGGATGAGGTGGGTAGAGAGAAAACATGTGCGAAAAGGCTGGACCCACTGTGGACTGGAAAATGCTGTAATAAAGGTTATGGTGCTGCCTAAAACACCGGGTGCAATACTCAGAGATTTCTTTTCCTTCAGAGAACAGTTCCAAAAATTGGCTTTCACTTCCAACAGAAATTAGAATGTCCACTATTTTTAAATTTCTCTGAAATACAGGTCTCTAAGACAGGTGAAGATTAAATTGATGGCCTATTTATATAATATCTAACTACACACAAAACCACTAATTGTTCTAATTTCTTTACTGGGGGAACTGAGTATGACCTGTAATTAGCTGAATTTACATGGATTCAAATTTCAAGTTCATAAACAAAAAATAGCAACATTTTATGTATTTATAGAGATGCCATTATTCTAGCATTTATTTTTACTTAGCACTTATAAAGAAGGTGAGGTAGCTAATATGCAACCTGTATTTTATGTATTCAGTGTGGTATTTTAATAAGCCATGCTTCCAAAGTTTTCTAATCACTAGGCGCTCTTCTGTGGAACTATTCAATGAGCTGTGATTTCAAAAAGAAGCTGACCAGTTGCTGGCCAGTTATTTTTTTTCCAAAAGGGTAAGATTCCTAAGAGAAATCCTTCTCCATTCACAGGTGGTGATATGCCTTTGGAACTGTCATTAACTCTCAGTGTGAGTCTATAATTTGACAGAACACACTGGTAGTTGGAGAAATTGCCTGCAACTCCCCATAAAAATATAGTAGTTAACGCTCATTACATGGAATTACTCAGGAAGTGGCTCCTTGACCCAGATGATGAGTAGGGAACACCAACATCCTAGCTGACTAGAGGTTGTATTCATTTATTACAGCTGGTAAGTACTTATAAATGTATTGATAACAGAATGTAGCAATTAATTAGCACATACTCATTAAAGAAGAACACAATCCAACTCACTCTTGCTTACGAACTTCCAGGCTTCTGTAAACCTGAGAAAGGCTCTTAGGTTGTTAACAGATGAATTCTTCTAACTAGTGACTACAGATAACTCTCAAAGCTAACTATGTATCAGAGAACTTTACATAGCCTTCACTCAAAAAAAAAAAAAAAAAAGGTTCTCACCTTCCTATTTCACAATTACTCCAGCAAGACAAATCGGAGACACTCAATTCCTGGTAAGAATCATCTAGTTCAAAGAGCAGAAAAGGAAAGGAGAGGGATCTGTAGTCAAACACACTTGGGCTCAAGGAGAAACCAGTAACTTTAAGGAACAAATATACATTATCTAGTTGCTTGCTATCCTCCTCAGCTTGAAATGACAGTCCTTCCAAATGCTATCTGAAAAAAACCCGCAATGAAAAAGCCAGAATACCAGAAAAATCACACATACCAAGGTAGTGACAATCTGTTTTTAGAATAACGAGTGGAAAACTGACATACCCAACAACCTTGAAATCACAACAGAGGTTTCAGTCAGTCACTAAATAACGTTCATGCAGCACCACTCCACTTGGGGATTTTTCCCATTTTCATCCTTGATACAATAGAATACCACCAGAGTCTACCAAATACCTAACAGAAATGCTAGTTTCACAGCCAGGTAAAAGTTAGGTGAAAGGACTCACCTCACAGAAGAGGGTAAGCTTGTCATCGGGGAGAAGCCCATTGGCTTCATCCAAGAGAAAATCTCTACGGATGAATTTTTTGAATCCCCAGTCTTTGCCTTGCACAAACCTATATGCCCGTTGAGACTCTGGGTGAAAAAAAAAAAAAAAGTCATATTTAAGGCTGCTCAAAAAACAAAACAAATGCACAACTTGTCAGTGTGTGAAGTTGCTGAGTGTGAAAAAAGAATTGACAAAGAACATTTACCCATAGCTTTGGTTTCTTCTCCCTTGGCATTCAGGATGGAGAATTTGAATTTTGCCCGAACTTCACTCTTTGGACAGCTGACCAGTAACAGGTAAAGTGACAGATAATCTTTACTTTCTTCATCTAGTCCCTTTGGGTTTACTCGCAAACACCTACCCCAAACAGGAAAAACAAACAAACAAACAAAAAAAGGCAAAAACACCCATGTTTAGAGGCTTGTGAAAAAAGGTAAGTAGAACATCAGACCCAGAGGAGATACTTTAAATAATAAATGCCAGTCCCTACATAAGGAGATTCTAGTTCAGCAGAATGACTACGGGGCTCTCCCTCTTCTTAGGCACCAGAGTCACCTTTCAAAAAGGAAACAACAAAAGGAGTAAAGAGGCATTCTAGAATCTGTAAACACATCCCTTATATCTTTGACTCTTTATTCATCATCTCCCAAATAACTCATCTTATTGCCCCTAAAATATTTTACAGTTAAGTCTTACTCTGTTCTAAACCTTAATCTCAGTAAGTGTGTCCCTAATTTTGTTGGCACTTTGGACAAACAATGAAAAAAATGTTGATGAGCACTTTGATACTACCTTGGGAGAGAGAACATTCATATTCTTAACAAATATAAGGGTAGTATATAATCTTTTACAAGTATTTTATCAACTGGAAATAATATTCTAAGATTAAAATAAAGGAGGCAGCATGGAAGACTCACACAAAAATAAACTCCCATTAAAGAGGTAGAGATCTACACTAGGCTTCTAAAGTCACAGATGTCAGTCTGTTACCAATGAATGGAAACAATCTAGAAAGAATTTATGTGGTTCAATTGAGTTCAATTATAAATGTCATTAGTTGAATTGCATGTGGTTCAGATACTGCTTCTATCACATATAATATATTGGCCATATGTATCCTAAGGCCTTGCCAATGTTATGATACTTCTCTCAAACAGGAGCCCAACCCAATGCCATTCTAGTGAGTTCAAAAAATTACTATGCCACAAAAATCACTACGTAGTGTGCTAAAGATATGGATCTAAATATAAGGGTTCTCTTATATGTAGTAGTAGATTGCTTAATATATACAGCCAACAAATACTGAATTAATGCAGAGCTGTCTAACTTTTCAGAGATTAGAGGTCAAAAGTAGTGGTTCTCAGGGATTTAAAAAAATAATATAATAGCTTATTTTTATTTCATTTTGTGCCTTTTTCCATCTCAGTTGTAATTCCCGTGGGCTTCCCACCACCACTTCACCTATGTGCCATCACCATAGTCCTGTGCACTCCCCCCAACCTTTTAATCCCATTCCCCACTCTACCCCAGGGGTATAATTTTATCTTTGCTGTGAGCACATTTTGGACCTTAAATTGCCTGCTCCTCTTCATGACAACAATAGTTTAGATGCGATTAGACCCACCTTCATGTCATATTCCCTTTGCCATAGGGATTAATTGAGGGCACCCAGACCTAAACCAGTCTGTGGGTACGACATTGTCTTGGCCACACAGACCAGAAAAAAGTTCAAGGACTTGCTAGATGGTAGTAAGTCTCACCCACTGCTACTTCTAGTTCTTCCACAACCATAAGGGAAGCTAGACTTGAGATGTCTAACAGTGTGGGCAGAGAAAGGCTTTGGGAGCCTTATCTAACTGGGTTAAGGATTAGATTAGCCGAATTTTAATTTAAATGGATAAACTACCTTCAAACTCATTCTATACCTTGGGCATTCCAATTACATAAGCAAATAAATTTCCATTCATTGTTTAAAACCAGGCAATTTAAAAGTTAAGAGATTTTACTAAAATCTAGATTTCCCTGAAAAAATCTACTAATTATCAGCTGGAGCTGAGAAGCTACCACCTCTCTTAGAAAGACAGTTAGTTGTTTGCCAAGCAGGCAATACCCATTTACAACACTGATCCTCTTTATTCATAATACTCCACACCCTTTGAGTTTTCTGATATCACTGAATTAATCAAAAAATACAGAGAGCAGCTATTACATGCCAAGCACTGTTCTAAGCACTAAGTAATATATTAAGTACAAAACAAAGCCTCTGCCTTCAAGGATTTTACATTTTAGTCAAGACTCCATAAAACTAAGCAAAACAACTGACAGAAACACTTTTACAACTACATGTATTCTTCCTCACCATTTCAGTTTATCATTGGCTCCTGATGAAAAGGTTGAACTTTTAATGACTTCACCCATTTCCTCCCGGCAAAAGCTAAAGTTATTGATGGTCCACATGTAGGAGAATTTTACTACCTTGATCTGTTGAGAGAAAAAAAGAAGCAATTAAAGAGGAAGCAGCCAACCTAAAAAACAGGTTAAAGATAGATAATCATTTCTCCTCCCTTCTCCCCTGCACAATATTCATAGAAGATAGCACTGTTTGGTCAGCTTCTTCCTCATTAGGTCCCTCTTCCACATTTTAAAAATCTCAGTGACCAACTGCTTTCTTAACTTTTCTCAGCTTTGGAGAAACACTTTCCACCAAAAGAGAGAAAAACACAAACAGGGTTGGGAAAGTACATGATAAAGTCATACTTAAAATGAGTCTCTGTGCTCAGAGAAGCCTCTGACAACCCTTGAGATATTGATGTCCTACCTGTGGTTGCAGATCTCAAATCTAGTTTCCCCCTAGAATTGTCCAACAGAGAAACACATTGCCATTGGGAGTGGGGGGGGGGGCACTGGGGTAGAGTAAGGCATGGAGTTTCAAGATCTCCCCTTTTAACCTTCAGGGAAAGCCACTGGCCAATGGCATTAATATTCTATGCAGAAACCAAGAACTAAAGAGCTGACAAGTGTCTTGCCTATCTGCTTGTTGGCACTTATGATCCAATAAAGCAGAATATCCAATGGTAAAAGAAATCATATTCCTTTCATCCACCAACTCCTCCCAAAATGTAATATTTACCAGGTGAAAACATTAACTTACCTGTGTGTAGCACCAGCTCTCAGCTACAGGGCCACTCGACATTTCTGCCGGAGGTGGAGGACTTGGAACCCTTGACATCGCCAGTTTGAAGGTTAAACAAGATTCCCAAAGTCAGGGGACAAAGATTTCTGTTCTCTCTTCACCCTGGTCAACCCAAGAGGCAGAGGATTTTATTAGATTAACGGAATACTGTTCTATCTTTCCACTTAACCTACTAGAGATTGAGAGCTTTTCTCTCTTGCCTGAAGGGCTCTACCCCTATCATTCAAAGAACTCCTTAGCATTCAGCTCCTAAATTTAAACCTCAACCTCAGAGAGTACCTAATCCAAAGCCTTCTCCAACTCACAATTGTTAACACCCTGTTTACTTTAATCCTCTGCACGATATTTAATATTACCTTACCAAATTAATTTACTCAAGGAGCACATCAAACACATCCAATGGCAAGAATGTCTGAAGAAAAAAACAGCTTTGTGAACACCTACAACCTTGTCATGCTTTCCTTTCCTTAGGACACAAATACTCCACACAAATACCCCTAAAGGAAAAATAACCTTGTTATCTAACTCACCTTCATTGCAAACTATTCTTCAACCTGGCTGCTAACTGCTCTTTTGAAGGGCAAGATTTCCCCTTTCTTAAATGTGCTCCTTTCTCATAGCATTAAGATCTCTCCCCTTTTCTACTCATTAGTACTGAGTTTTCAGATTCTTATCCTTTCTCTGTCTATAATCATCCCCCAATCCTTTTTACTGAATTATCCTCCACTGTTTTTCCTCATTGCTTAATACTCAGTTATTTTCTTAATCTATATTCTCTTTCAGGGAAAATTTATCCTTTCCAATAAGGTCAAATTTCTACTTTTTATATAAATGTTTCCCAAGTCTCTTTAACTTTTAACTATTATAAACCTCAGATCATTTTCAGATAACTGTGATACATCTCAGCAGGTATTCCAATAGCAAATCAAATACAAATCAAAATTCTCCCTTCTAATATCTTTCTAAACACAAATCCATTTAAAAAATTGGTAAATATGGTATAATTTTACCATATAAAAAATGAACTGTGGGGCCCTCCCTGATGGTACAATGGGTTTGGATGCAGCACTGCAAGCTGGCCATGTAACAGGGTGGTCCCTAAGAAAAGGGGGAGTTCCAGGTTCCCTGCCCCACCCAGAAGGAGGGTGGAGCTGAGCAGAGCAAAGGAAAGAGGAGAAGGAATCCTAAGAAGGAAACAGGATGGAAAGCCAGAAGGAGACAAGAGGAAGCCACAGGGAGCAGAGGGAGACATGTGAAGAAACTGTGCTTGTTTCTTGGCTCTGGACTGGTTGAAAGAGATGTGGGTGAGAGATCTGCGGGGAACTTGACTATGGCAGTGTTTATATTGATTTTGATTGTGTTCTTTTCCTCCCAGACTCGTCTGGCCATTTTTGACCCTTTTCTATGGGTCCTGGACAGAAGATGCTTTAGTCTTGTGGCAGGCTTTCTGGCCTTGCTTTGGACCAATCCTTTGTGGGTAGACTTTTACCCACGAGGGGATGGGTAACTTCGGGTGTTTGATTTAGAAATTATATTCTTTGTCTTCTGTGTTATATACTCAATGTATTAAAGCTCGTTTTCATTAATGTCTTTTATGTCTTGTCATGATGCAGCAGGGCAGAACCTATTTAGAGTATGCAGGTTTGGGGATTCAGGGGTGGCCCTCTCTTCCTGCCCTGTAATAGCCGCAGCTGCCTCAGTGTGAGTTCGATCCGGCCCCAGAGGTGATCCACATGGCGCAGCAGACCTCTCCTGACCCGCCCACTGCTCCCCTCAGCAGTGTACTTCAACAATCTGCCTGTTCTGCTACCTTCTCTGTCTCTGGTGAATCCTCTCACCGCCCCCCCCACCTGTGGCTTGTACCCCAGCTCTGTATGCATAAATAAATAAATCTTAAAAAAAAAAAACCCTGTGTATGTGTGTGTGTGTGGGGGGGGAATACAACATACAATATATGACAAAGGGGTTAATTTTAAATTTATGAGTTGATCTACAATTGTTTCTATAAAATCAGTAACAAAAAAGCCAACAACCCTATACAAATATTGTTCATATACACAAAAGAAATAAAGATAGTTCAAACATGTTTATATCTGTCAGACCAGCAAGCAAACAATAAGTAAATAAACTATAGAGCCATGGATGAGGACCAGAAGAAATAAGGGCACTGTCATCACTGCTGGTGAAAGTGTATATTAGTTGTATGTTTTGAATAGGAATTTTGCTATATCTAAAGTTGAAAATACATGTCCTGTGACTTAGTAATTCTAAGTCAATTAACAAACCATAGCAGTTGTTCTTAAACTTCAGTGTGCATCAGAATCACCTATTAAACAGAATGCTGGTTCCCAACCCTAGAATTTCTGATTCAGAGGTTTGGAATGAACCCAGAAATTTGCATTTCTACAAGTTTCCAGGTGACTCATACAAGTTAATCCTGGAACCACATTTTGAGAACCACTACCCTAGAGAAACTGCAATACAGGACAAGATATCGAAGAACAAGGTGTTCAATGCAGAATTGTTTACATAGTGAAAAATTAGAACTAAACTAAAACTCCATCAGGATGGGAACAGATAACTAAATTGAGTTACTTCCACAGAATGAAAAGCAATATTCCAAGATTTAAAATTAATGAACTAGATCTATATAGCACCACAGAGATGAGAGAAAACAATATGTTGATGAGAAAAGGCAAGTTCTGGAATGTTAATGTGTAATACATTATTTATGCAAATTTAAGATTTATATGTTATTCACAGATATACACATACAGTACAAGTACAACATTGACAAGCAATGCATCAGATTCACTGACAAACTGAGAAAGCAAGGAAGATGAATGAGACAGGTTAAAATTTCATCTGTTTCTTTTAAAACGATGATCTGAGACAAATATGACAATACAAATGTCGGTTAGTTCAGAATGATAACTACTTGAATGTATGCTATTCTTGCTACTGTTCCACTTTTTTTTCTTTTTAATATACTGCAGTAGTTATAGGGATAATGTAAGGATATGTTTCACTATATCACACTGTCTGGCTCTATAATACTGAAGGAAGAATTTCTTTACTGAATGCTTGGTTTGTTTTCAGCCCTGGACAGAAAATAAATCTTATAACTGACCATGTTGCCCCCTTTGCTTGGTTACTAGGAAACTCTGGTACAAATCTGTGAGCCACCTCTTTTACCTTAAGTTCATATGGTTGTTCTATATGCCATATTAAATACAAGATCATATACTCATTATGTAATAGCTTTATTACTTTCTTAATGTCATTAACTCCTTTGCTATAACTCCCTAAAGTGTTTATTTCACTCTTATATATTAGGTATTTTTGGAAACTGCCTCAAATTCTTTGTAGAAAGAAGTATAAATGAGTAACTAGTAAATCACTTCTTTTACATTTACTGACTACTTAAGTAATAAGCATGGGGGGATTAATAACAGTTTTTATTACCAGAGTCCCCACACTGGTTTTAAACACTAATCCACAGGCATTTGAACTAAAGTATCTTTTATAATCACAAATGGAAGTAACAGTCTTATATACAAAATGTGAAATGGAAGTAACAGTCTTATATACAAAATGTGCTCATTTCACTTAAGTTAGCAAACTAAGCACTGCACTGGCATTTGGGCCTCCTTGGTTCATGCAACTTTAATTCCATGGCAATAGCAAGAGAGCAAATGCTGACTCTGATCACCTGTGATCAAGGTAGGTTTGCATTTGATAAAATACATTCTCACAAAATGCACCTTATACAGTTTTATAAAACCAGGTTCATTGCTGCCAGTAGAGGACAGAATGAAATTTCAAAATTCCTATTTAAAGCTGTCTTTTGGGGATGTTGGGAATAAAGATGTGAATTTCACACGATAGTGAAGAGCATAATATTTGGCTTTCGGCCCTCCCTGCCTGCCCCAGAGGTGACCACATGGCGAGGCAGACCTCTCCTGACCCGCCCACTGCTCCCCTCAGCAGTGTACTTCGTAGATCTGCCTGTTCTGCACCCCGCTCTGTCTCTGGTGAAGCCTCTCACCCTCCGCATCTCTGGCCTGTACCCCAGTTCTATATGAATAAATAAATCTTTTTTAAAAAAATTGGCTTTCGAGGTGTGGAGCTCTACTGAGTTCTTAAAATACTAATTGATTTTATTTTGAAGTAAACATAAAACACTTCAAATTTATCTAGCAACTAAGAATTTAAACATTCTCTAAGCCTAAGAAAAGGACAAATTTTATTTTAATGTCTTAATTGTTGCTACCAAACCATGCTCCATTATTATAATCAGAAAGAAAACACTACTGTACTTTGATCTTAGCCATGTTTTTCTTTTTTGCTTTTCACTTATGTTGTAGCCAAGTCCTTTTTTAAAAAAATTACTTTTTTCACAATTAAAAAAAAATGTACCCAGTAGATGGTAAAACTGGATAATCATTCTTTGATTCTGAGGAGCTCTAACCACACAACCTGCTGGGAGGGAAATTGACTAGGCTAACATAAGTCTAATTAATTTCACTCATAGCAGGCACCATGGGCAAAGTGCTCATCAGCAAAGTGGCCTGGTGTTACATGAGGTCTCCAGCACTTCATGCCAAATGCTGCAGATGTCCAGCAGAAAAACAATTTTAGAAGATTGCTATTTGAGGGTCATAGTTTGAGAACCTTTGTAGGAGACAACTTACACCAAAATATATTGTTTCTGGCTTCAAACAAGTTAAGACAAGACCATTCAAGTTCTCTAATGAGGAGTTTATTTTCTAAAGCTTAGCAAACTTCCCAATATGCTGACAACTCTGAGGCTGAACATGTCTGTCATATACCACCACTTATCTTCCCGTTCACTCTATTAAATCCTGACCTATAAAGCTACACCTGAGTCACACTAAGAAATAAACCTTAAAATATCTGTCAACTCTAACACTGCTCAAATTCCAATGAAAGCAGTATCACAGTTAGCAACTAACAGCAACCTCTAACAGAATATTTCCTAGCAGATATCGTGAGACCAGGAGGTATCATTAATCTTTTTGATAAGAGATTCAAGTCTATCAATATAATATGATTCTTAACTAAAAAGTTACACTTTGTAG